ATGGCTGAGAGGCAGCGTGTCCAGCAGCAGGTGATGGGTGGAGGGGAGCAGGCTCAAATCGTCCTTGGCTCTCTCTTCATATCGATTGCCCTCCATCTTATTTAGCCCCTGCCAAAACTCACAGCTCGGTATTGACTTGGGCTTATTACACCTCATTCTAACACAACAAAGTCTGAACAAAGCTGCTGCTGGCGGGTGGAATCTGCCCAAATGCCTCCAAACGAGTGTTTTTCATCAGAAGTTTTACTGATCCACAGAGAATACTCCATAGAGACGAGGAGCTTTTATGTAGAATCCCCCGAGATAGTTAATTCCCTGAGAAAAGCACATCATTAGTTTTGATAAAAGCTGCTATGGATTTGGTCAAGCTTCGGATTACCTCTACCAGATCAAATATCTAAATCCAAACATGCAGTAAACACAAAGTTATGATGTAGTTTATACTTTATAAGTCATGTGGAGTTGAACTTTAAAGCTCCTGTGAAGCATTGAAGAAGAAGAACTTAATTGATTTTGATGGTATGTCTAATCTTGATGCCAAAATGTAAAATAAGTGGCTTATCTTGATGTAAAAAATGTTTAAAAAAAAAGAAAGAGTGTTTTGGTGCTGTGCTGCTAATTCATACATGTGACGCCTACCCCTAGCCACAGTAGCAGATATAGAATACAGGAATATAGATCCTATATGATCAATATAGGTTTTATAGGTATAGTATAGGTCCCCAACACCCTGAGGGCCCCACAACCCACCAACAGTTTTTAAAAAGGACTCAAAACTTTCCTTTTTAACAAAACTTTTGGTCCCTCCTCATAGATTCTTTACAAAAAAAAAAGGATAAATAATAATTTTTTAAAAACTGCTTATCTTGCCTGTACACTTTTAATGAAATGTTTTTCTTGGTTTTTTTTTTTACCGATAATCTGTTTTTATATTCCTTTGCTGTGATATTTCTTTGCTTTTAAGATGTAGCCCTTCGAGGTCTCTTGATGTAAAGGGCAGGACAAATAAAGTGAGTTGTTATTATTATTATTATTATTATTATTATTATTATTATTATTATTATTATTATTATTATTATTATTATTATTATTATCTTTAGTATTATTATATAGGAAACAATGACTCTTCCTCCTGATAGCCTCGCTTACCTTTGCAGGTCAAATAAAGGTAAAAATATACATTTCTGTCGATGTCATGACTAGATAAAACCCCCTCACAGGAGCTTTAATCATGGTATCAGAATCATATAAACAACTGTGTATTAAATGGTGGTTTTGTGAATTGGCCACTTATTTAGTTTCCAACTTCCTGGGTTGTTACAACCTTTATGATATGCCAATTAGTAAACCTTTAAGATAAATGAAGCGACCATTGAAATGCATTTTTCCTCTTGAATCTATTTCAATTTCAGAATTATGAGAAAAAAGTCAGAGTTCAGAAAATGATGTCCAAACAGACAATGACTTCCTTTACAAGTTGCATGTATTCACAAATACGTGTCAAGGATGAAGACTGTATACCAACCCTTTCAACAGAGTCTTTGATAAAGAAAATGAATAAACTAAATAACCCCTCACTCCTGATAGTTATTAATAAGGTAAAACATCACTTAATAAGAAAACAAAGACATTTAGGATTTATATGAACTAAAGCAGAGGTTCAAACACACTTCAAGGCAAAAAGAGCTGTTCACGCAAGGGAGCGTTGCTAGGCAACACAGTGGTTTTTGAGTTCCCCTCATCAATCAGTGAGTGTTGTTGTACTCACCTGTCTGACTGGCATTCTCTGAACTGCAAAATCCTCCCTGCTCTGTCCTGGATTGAAGCTCATGTCTGAAAAATTCCTCAGAACTTGATAGAAGAGCAGAGAGTCTTCAAAATCCTCTTCAAAAGTCTCTAAGTAAACACAGGAGCCACTGCTGAGGGGTCCACCTGAATATTTTAGCATTTAGCATGTTAGAAAACACAGCATGTCACGTGTTTCTACGTTAACAGGGTGTGTTTGATTTGTAGTCATTAAATGTGCAGACAGGGCGGAGCTCTGAAACTGAGGGTTGACTCAAAAGTCTGTATTAGCACGCTCTGTCATCTTTGAACGGGAGGAGACAAAAAGATGTAGCTGCTGCTGGCCAGCTAGCTAGTACCAGCTCTGAGAGATGATTTGATACTTTTAACACTAACTCCACCAACATTTTCAACTACTAGAATGACCAAAGCAGTCATTTTGACTGCTCTGATTTTATTTGCATGTAATCTGGACAATTAACAAAAAAACTACTAATACATTGGTGGAATAGGTGGAATAAAAACACATCAGTAAACAAAGTGAAAATTATAATGAATTTGATTTTTAAGAACTTTCCTCAAAATACCAAAACACATCATTCTCTGAACTTGCTCATTCATCAGATTCTTCCTCATCAAGGCCCTGAAGCAAGGCTAAAGCCTCCATACTTGTCATTTTTCTTCTAGTTGTCATTTTTGAGACACTTGAGTTTTGAATAAAGTTCTAGCAAGATTTTGGCTTCACAAAGCTCAAAGTACAAAACAAGCAATAGAGCAGGAAAGCGGGAGAGCGGGAAAATAAAACATATAGCAAAAAGTGAAGTTTAACACCCTTTGTAAAAAGCATGCAGTCAGTTTGACTGCTCTGGTAGTTAGAGATAGTATTACTCAGATCTCTTTTGTGTTTTGAGATTTTAATGATAAAACAATGTTAGAACAAAACATACACACGTTTAGGAAAAGTCAGGGGGAGACTAGTTTAAAGGTTTTATTTTTAGAAAGTTACGACGTTTTAAATTTTGAAAGCAGTCAAAATGACTACCTTGATAGTTTGAGTGTTAAAGACTGGCATCTAATGATTCGCTGAGTCCAAAAACATTACAGTTTTGTATGTCACAGGTTTTCTGATTGTTTTCATCCAGATTCGCAATTTACTATCTACACGAAGTACCTTGCACTTCAAAATAAACGCATAATTTAACTGAGAGATGATTAAACTGAAAACTGATTGGAAGAGAGGTGAAACGTCTTCAAGTACCTCAAACAACTCCAGTTGCCCTTTCAACGAGGAATCGCATCATTCAACCAAGCAGGAAATAAACGACTTAAAAACAAAACAGAAAAAAGAGAGGAAAGATATTCTGCAAGCTGCAGATGTCAGATTTAAACCAGAAGCAATCCACTAATCAGCAGCCAGGACTTCAAGTCTGCTTCTCCTGACCTGCTGACCTTTAATGAAACAGGGCCTGACTTTAGAAACCAGCAGTCAGACCAAAATGCAGTAAGAGTAGCAGTGGAGATTGACAACCTAGTGTGTGTGTGTGTGTGTGTGTGTGTGTGTGTGTGTGTGTGTGTGTGTGTGTGTGTGTGTGTGGGTGGGTGGGTGTGTGTGTGTGTGTTGTGAGAATGGATGAGTCACTCTTGCCATTTGCACTGCACCCACAAATTAACACAGGACTGATCAATGGAGATGAGATGCCAGCTGTGTGTATTTGTTCAAACAATAATGCAGGAGGACAAAAACTCCAAACATTTACATACTTTTAACTGTGGAGTGGGCAATTATATAAATCCTGTTGTGGTTAATTTTCCTCTGTGCTGCGGTAATTCAAAGTACTCCTGCTTGTACTTTTATAAACTGTTTACTTTTATTGTTTCAGATCTAAAAAGTGTCGACCATCAATGATTCCTGCATGATTTCAAGGTAAAGATAACATTTTTATATGAATGTTTTCTTTTTCAAGCAATAATTTGATTGTATGCCTGTTTATTATGTTTCTGTTTTATTATATTTATATTATAACTCAAATAAAATCAAATGTCTATAAAAGTGTATGAATTCATGTGGGTTGAAATATTCCATAACATTTGTTTCTGTTTCCACCGAATATGTATTCAAGGAATTTGGGGGTACTTAACTATTTTATGGGACTAAAAACATGCAAACCACAGCTTTATTGTTCCCTCTCTGCTTATACGTCAACATAGTGTTTTCTCTGTGCTCTCAAAAAGTCCAGAAATGGAGGCAATTCAACAAGGCCAAACCACTGTTGAACTCAGTCCTGCGCCAAAGTGAATATTTGTTCTCTGGTGTTTTTTAAACTTTACTCTGCAGCCTGTGAGCTCATGTCTGATTGGTATGACTGACTCTCACTCTCTTGATATGGCAGGTTAGTCCGTTCATGTCCTTGACACTGTTAGAGGACTGTTGCCGCATGTTGCAAATTGCAGCTCTGGACACAGTGTCAGTGTCACACTTTTCTAACTGCCCATTTCCCTGAAACTGCCCGGTCAATGGCGTTCAACGTCCCCTCCCCAGTCTCATCGGAGCTAAGAGATGTAGACAGAAATAGATGTGAGACAAACGTCCCTTAGTTCCCTTAGTTAGCCCTGAACAGTTATGAATAATGAGGCAGAGGGGTTAACTCCTAAAAGGCACACAGGGTACCTCGGCGCGTTCTTCTCTTTGCCCTATTTTGCTAGTACATCAGTGTGTGGGTGGTGGACACTAAACGCTTATCATGAATTAAGAAAGAGATTTTTTTTTTTTTTTAGGTCACAATATTGTAATGAAGGACTCGAGCTGGTCAATACATTGACTTATATGAATGAGCATCATACGTGCAGGGATTGCAAATGTAACCCAGCACCATGAATTGATAGATTTTCAAATTTAATTCTAACAAAAATAAAAACTCTGATGACATAAAGCTTTGAAAAACACGTTATAAATAATGAGGAAAAAGATTAAAATTGATTTGGCAACCCTCAAACAGCTCCACCAGCTGCTTAGTAAATCTTCACATTGTGGTCTTATCAGACATTCATTAACCATGCAAAAGAAAAGGTTATAATTACTTTCAAAAATGGAAAAAGAAAATCGAAAAGAAAGTGACATTTAAGTCATAAAGAGAAATATTTATTGAGTAGGCACACAGATTACTTGGGACTACTCAAAAAAACTTTCATAGCAAATTTGTTTGGTGTCCGTCCCTCTTGAAGGTCTGGTTTTCCTGCAGATATTTAATTTGAGTGTTTGTGTTTGACTCTGTTGTCACCCTGACTGTCAGGTTAACATGACCACCTGAGTGTACCTTAACATGACATGACCTGTTTTAGTTTCTTCCTGCTTTACAGCTCCCACTTTGATTTATAAGAGGAGGCTTTTTATCTTAAGTTTTTAATGGAAATGGTCTCAAATCGAGGTGTTGGGATAGACAGACAGACTAAATGATGAAACTAGAAATTTTTGTTTTATGGAATTAATCAAATACGCTCAATTTATATTTGATATCAGCAAAAAAATTAAACAATTTCAGAATAACTTTCCTCTGTGTCAAATTGGAAAGAATTGTATTATTTATAGTACGTGATTGAATTAAACTATGCATGAGAGACAAAACCCGAAACAATACAGGAGGGTCATGATCTTTGGGCAGTCAGGAGGCCATTGTATGGAAAACAAACATGACTCTGCAGTGGAAATCACTGTATGGGCTTAGCACTGCTGCCAAAAGCAAAGAAGAAACCAGACATAATCCATGATCCACCAACCAGCTCTTGCTGTGATATAGGGATGCATAAGTGCTCCCCCTGCCAACAAAACTGTAACTGCTGTTCTTGTCCTCTACATGCCCAGGTAGTTACTCCTTCCAAAAACTCCCATCCTACTAACTTACGACAGATATCTAAATTATTGTTGATATTTCATGTGGGAATTTTAAAAAGGCTGTTTCTTTAGCTGCTTGGCTGACACCTACCCTCTCACTTCAGTTTATGGTGTTAAAATTACAGAAATGAAAACCATCAGTCTTATCCCTGATGGTCTTATTTGCTTTTGTATACACTGGAGAGGCATCAATATGCATATAAATGTATTTCATTAACATCAAAAAACTCCTTATGGGAATTTTATGAGTATGTATTTTTCATAAATCATTTTTAATTGGGGCTGTGCGTCGTTACATATCGGCAGCAAGATGTCTCTTTTAGGGCAGTTATATCAAACATGAGTGGAAACTCGAACTCACAGACAGGGGTTCATACTCATCATTCTGTTCCTCTGTGTCTGTTAACCAAAAGATGGCTGCTGTAGCAAGCTTTCTCCTGCCACCTACTGTTCAGAAAAACACTAACACTCTCTTTAAATGCAAGTCCATCTCAGGAAGGTGTGCTGGAAGAAAAGTGTTGCTGGTAATTCCAGCCTCTTGATTTGTTATCTCTAAATTTGCCTCAGTTCCTCATGATAATGTGGATTTGTGTTTTGAAGTGTTCAGGATATTTCAGTCAGCAAGCCAGGGTGCTTAGCCTATTGACGCCCATTTCAACCACAGCGTTTACATGACAAAGATATGCTCTTAATGCTAATCATTCACCGTACTGATTACTCACCATCATCCCCCCACCATTGCTGCTGTTATTCGAGTCAGAGACCCTTTGAAGTTTCACCCATGAGTGGAAAAATGCTAAAATATTTACACTTTAGTCACTTCTCTCAACAGCGGATCCCAGCCAGAATTCCTTCTCGTGGGAGCAAATCAAATTGCCGCAGCTTCCTCTGTTTTGATTCATGTGAGCAACTTTTCTAATCTGATTTCTTCAGGGTGGGTCATGAAGTCAACACTAGAACATACGTCAACACAGATAGATAGTCATCAGCGGCTGTCAGCTTGTGTTTTTGCTTTCATGTTGGGCGCAGAGAGGGACTTGAGGATGAAGATTACCCTTTAATTCCCACTTCACCCAAACTATAGCCTGACATTTATCCTTGATGTGTTTTCACACTTTTAAGTAGGGCTCGAACTCACACAAACACTCTCTCTCACACCCTGGAGTCTTTTAACAGCTTCAATTAAACAGAGGCTGTGTCCAAAGTCCCGTCAGAGCCAAATCCAAACTTTTGGCTGGTTGCCCTTTTCTTCATGTGGAGCCAAGTACCCAAATATGCTCCCAGCAGACTGGAAATGACTCCTACTGAAGAGGAAATAAAAGACACTTAATGGAGGCTGGAGGAGACGTTACCTCGAGGGGAAGGTCAGGGGTCAGGCACATAGAGGATCAGCATTTTGGAGTGCTTTGAAAACTTGGTCAAGAGATCAGTCTACCTTCCAACAAGGTTAAAGATGTGGTTTTGAAATTGTGAGTCTCCAAGGGCCTTTTCTAAAAGAGCCAGAAGGAAGGTAAAAAAAAGGACCAAGGAGGGCCAATAGTCTGCAGCCAGACCTCCGTACAGCAGGTGTTGGTTCATAGTCAGCATGAGAGCAATTTCTCACCACTTATGAAACAGACTGAAGTGAATATCGATGTGTCCAGTAGTTGAAAATTGACCACTCAGTGTATATTCAGGTCTGAAAGTGAGGGTCGATGTGTTGGCAGAGCCAGGTGGTGGTCAGGGGTGGCTATGACTACACCTGAAATCTGATCATCCACCCCAGCTGCACTTCAGTTGAAATAAGTTGGTGGGTTGTGATTCAACAGTTGACAACTCACTGTGGAACAATTTATTTTATTGGTGATTGAATGGGATTCTTGTCTATAAGAAGTTAAAGTAGATAATCCAGGTCTGAGGTAGGCCCCATTATTTCCATGCTTGGCCAGCCCAGTAACACCACTGGGTAAGTTTTCAACAAGGTGATAACAAACAAGTTTTCTCTTTATTACTTTTTTGTTTTCTTCATGTCCATTTATGTGTTTTTATGCACATGTATTGGTTGAGCTTTTGGCAGATTTGGTTTGTTATTAAGTGAAAAGTACGGGCTCTATGCACAGCTCCACTACTTCCTGAACTTAAGGCGGCTCCTTTATTTCCTGTCTTACATTATTGGACAAACTGGTCGATTCAGGTGGTTGACCACTGTGACTACTCAGACACACCTGGATTAATCAGTTTGTCCAATAATGTAAGACAGGAAATAAAGAAGCTGCCGTAAGTTCAGGAAGCAGTGGAGCTGTGCACAGCGCCCATTGAAGCTGGTTTGGTTTGGTTTGACCCTCTCAGTTTTCTGACTGCTGGTTGAATAAGCAATCCCAAATGGGAACTTTTTAAGATACTAGTGCCCCCTAAATTGAAAAAGCTTAATTTTTCCATCAGTTATTTAAGATAGTGAAAAATTAATTTATGGAAATGTTCTGAAATTTTAAAAACAATTTTCTATTTCATTTGGACGATTTTAGCCCGAAGCCCTCATGAAATTACATTAAAATATTAAAATGATCTGATTACAGTAATTTTGAGTTATTGAGTTATCTGTCAATTATTAAAAAAGAACTCTGATTGATTTTTGAGGTGCACAAGGGAGTTTTTTTCACAGGAGTGTCGGGTGGACTTCTTTTTAGCAAGAGCTGGAGGTACTAATGGACATATTTATTCGTGACAGGCTTTTTTTTTTTTTTTTAAACTATTGCTGTCTTCATCATTATAGCGCACTGCAAAATCTCAAGTGTCAGCCAGTGTTTCAGTCACGTTTCCAATTTAGAATGTTTATGAGGCCTAAATTAGGACAAATTCACTCTACAAGTCCAAGTCAAGTCAAGTTTCTAAAAAATAAAAGTTCAAAGTGATATGAGAAGAAACCTTATTGCAAAAAAATTGACGAATCATTTTTGTTTTTGAATCAACAGTAAACGTGACTAATATTTGGCTTCATATGACTTTTAACAAGAACTATAAGAGTCTAGTTTTTGTTGTAAAAGGTCCCTGCTCATAGTTATGATTGCTTTCACACACTTTTTAATTATTAAGAGTTGTCCTTGGAACTTAGTGTAGACTTTGAAGTATCAAGTACAAAGACACTTAACTTACCACGTGAGAAACTAGCCTTGAAGCAGGAAATCTAGACTTAATATTTATTCTACTTAAGGACACTCTAAATAAACTCTTCTTTCTTTAAATATAATGGACACTTTTCACTCTTTTCAAATTGAAAGCTTATCTAAACGTAAACTTTCACGGTCCCTTTTTAAACAATTTATTGGAAGCCTTTCAAGGAACTGTGATATGAATAAACATTATTTATCAGTTTCCCCTCCAGGAAGGTACAGGAGTCAGACCAAGTCACCAAATAAAACAAAATGAAGTAGACTAAGAGAAAAGATTTACCAAAATAAACCCTTTTTTTTTTTTTTTTTGAACAACAAACAAGTACCAAGACCTGAACAAAGCACTGCACCAATCACACACAGATCGATGCTGTGGCAGCCTGGAGGTCGATCCATTAATCAGCCAGCAGAAGTCCTGTCTGAATCCCTGCCCACACAAACACAAACACAAACACAAACACACACACATATAGTGCACCTCCAGGTGTAATTGCTGACCATCACACCAGGCAGCTGGACCACGGGGTGCGCCTTCAGGATTGACAGGTACTGAGCCAAGACCTGGACCCAGCAGCAATAAGAGGAGGGGGTGAAACAAATGCGTCACTCCACAGCAGCAACTGAGGCCACTGCTCACAGCTATCAGCCTCTAAATCAGACACGCAAAGACAGAGAGAATCAAGATAACAAACACCACTGCAGCTCTTCCCCTCGCCTTGTTTTTTCTCCTTAAAAAGACATGGAAATCTTTCATGTGCTTGTTTTATGAGGTCCCCAAACAGGCTGATCGTTTTCCTACTTATCCCACATATCAGATGAAGACAAATTTGAGTCAATAACAAACATTGAAAGAGTTCCAGCTAGGGTTTTTCTGACGAAATACGATAAGATGGAAAGTTCCCTCGTTTGAAACCGAATCCATAAGCCATGCAACATTTCCTTAAGAGGACCACCAATGCTTAGACCATCCTTGGCATCATCTTAGAGGGACAGGGTGAGTCCTCTCTCTTGTTTGCTCTTCAGGTTGGTTGGGAACTACTGCCATCATGTGGAAGTTTTAGGAATTTAAGGCTGACAGACTGTATGTGGATCACAGATGGATGAGAGGTTATGAGGCATTTATTCTTCATTTCAAAATTTATCAAACTTTTACTGAATCAGATATTTGTCCTTTGGTCTCTAAAATCTGCCCCTCTTTCTGCTCAGTTTGTAATGTTAACAAGACCATTTCCTGGTGAGACGAAATCTACAAACTGGCTTACACCCAAAAGCACATACAGATGAAAGAAATTTGCATATCAGGGAGTCAAAATGTTTCTAGTGACTGATCAAATAATATTGTGTTGTTAGATATGGTTCACCATCCCTTCTCCCTGTCGTCTCCCTGCAGCAACTGGTATTTCATATTCATAAGGACTCCTTTTATTGTCTTTAGGCCCTTTTCCTTAAAGCTTGTGGGCCACTGAAAGTACTGTCCTTGAGGAGGGGCTTCATAGGTGGCAGACGAGTTACCCTGAAACTGCTGGTTTCTGCCATCAAGATAGCCCTTTAAAGTTTCCTTATCTCTTGGGAAAGTTCCTGAAATTGAGATACATCAGTTTTTGAAATTTTCTGTTTCTTGAAAGAAAAAGCGACTCAGTGCCAGAACTCTTCTTTCTTAGTAAGAAAGTCTCACAACAGCAGTCCTAGTTGGTCAAAAAGAATCTCTGGGAAGCTAGGGTCTTTCCCCTTTTAAACACCATTTTACATTCATGTTTTCACTGAACAATGGTAATTACCAATACATTTTCAGTCATTTCATTGGTCATCTAACATCTGCAGTTTCACACATATACCTTCACTGCACTCAGGAGTGAAGGTCTCTCAGCTTCTGTTTTTCTCTACTTTCACACCAAGGCCATTCTTGTCTGAAGCCAAGGAGTGAAAGCAGTTGACCTTCAGCTTTTCTACACAATAACTCTCTGTGGTACTGGCTATTCAACAGTAACTCTCATTAATGTTAATGAGTACTGAAAGGGACTTGCACTTAAGAACTTAAGTACAAGTACTCAAGTCGAGCACTGAAACTTAAGTACAAGTACTCGAATACAAACACAGACTCAAGGTGGGGCAGCTTTGTTTTGTCATGCCCCACATCTGTGGAACACCCTACCTAATGACCTGAGGATGGCAGAGTCCCCATATTTTTGAAAGCAAACTTAAAACTTCCTTTTTAGTTTAGGTACAACTGAATTTGCTATAAACTTATTAACATATTCAACCAAGTTTAAATATTTCACACTGATTTTAATCATTTTCTTACAGAGTTTTATTATTTTGTCTGACTTTCTAGCGTTTTATGCTATCTCCCTGGTCTACATATGAGGTTGTCAGATATGCCAGTGTTAAGCAATCTGAAAGGTCTCCAATACAAGACTTCATACAGGGAAAGACCTGTAGTTGATGTAATTGTGTGCTTTTTAGTCATAAACAATTGTAAGCGATTGATCCAATTTTTTTTTTTCTTCTGTTAACCCAATCCTTAAGTTGGAAGCCCAAGAACAAACCAGAGAAATCTTGAGTTCACAGATAAAATTTATTTAGGTCACAGGTAAAGCAAAGCAGTGCTAGGATCCAAGTGTCAGAGCTCCTGCAGGATCCCAGCCAGGCGAGGCGTCATTTCAGGGTTTGTTGCACAGTTATCTTCCTGGGCTTGAGCAGAGGTTGGACTTACACACGAACGAGTCTCATTGGCCAGTTATCTCTGATGTGAACAGGCATAGCATTGTTCACTGGTCTTGCTGAAATGTGGTATTAAACATGTGTGAATGTTGTCCTTGAGGATTGCATCTACTGTACAGCAGACCTGTTCAACAGAATAAAGAGACCCTTGTGGTTACATCGGGCTCCTACTTATCAAGCCAAATGCCACACTGTACAAAATTAAATGAAAACAACCTCTGAGTCAATGAAAACTTCCGGTAAGTTACATGAGGTCAGGGGAAAAGTACTGATATGAAGTGAACAAAGTAGAAGCCAATTATAACACTTTCATAGCTTTATTCAGCTTTTATTCTTTAGGGCCTGCTGATATTTTTCTGCATAATTTGTAAAACTATATGTTCTAGTTTGAGTAATATGTTATAATTCATATTCTAACAGATACCACCCCTCCTGTTGAGACATGATCAATACCATGGCTCAATATGGCTGTGTATCTGACAGTAAGCGAAAGAAACAATAAGTGTCCTGATCTTGTGTCACCAAAAGAATGTAGAAAAAAAGACATCTTCTGATACTTTACAATCTTGAACAGATACATTTGTCCTCATGTTTGTCTGCAGCAGTTTTAGCTAATGAAACATGAGGTGCTACTGAGTATGTGTAGATTTTGTTCTTCTTCCTCCAGTTCGCATGCTGCTGCCCTGTCCCAAAATCAGCCTAAGTTGGACATGTGGTTTCTTTAGAAACTGTTTTTCATACCTCTGACCCTGGTGTATGTTTGTAATACACGGTGCAATGCATGTTCTTCTGGCTATTGTTTGGTAACTGTGGGGAGACAAAACATGTCTACCTTTGTTTTGGATGCTGAGATAAATCCATGTTTGTGGGGTGTTTTTGCATGACCTCTTTCTGGACATGCCTCCCAATGGATCTGGGTCTGCTGTGCCTTCCCCTCCTCTAAGGAGAAAGCTGATACTGCATCTTGTCCACTTTTCAGAACTTTTCACTACTCGTTACTTTTGTCAATTTGTGTTATTTTGCTGGTATATTAAAATACGCTTTCTCGACTTCCACATTTTTGATGGGGGGTGGGGGGACATTTATTCAAGGGGACCCTGCATAAAGCCAGCTGTCTCTCCTTTCTTGTCACTCCTACCTCCAATGACAGATTCCTCCTGGTCTCTCAATAATCCAAACTGCTCCTTTTCAGGGGCAGGGCAGAGGTCTTTCATTCAGAGTTCCAGACACTCTGTGCACAGTATCAGGTCCACTGTCAAGGGAAGGCAGGAGCACATGAGATCTAGCTCAAAGGACCAATTATGTCAGAAAAATCTTTCTGGAGGTCAAGAAATATATAAAGAAAGTACATTTAATTCTTGGAAGAATGGGGAGCAAACAATGCATCTACTAGATACACAGAAAGGTTTCACAGCCTCACTTTCTCGGATCTTTGTCATCATTTCCAAATATGGTCAACAGTCAACTTAGACAAGTAACATTCACCCTGAGTTTAGTGTCTGCTGTCCTTGCATAGTTTAAACTACACACTACATTTTACAAACTCTATGCACATCTTAGAGGGCTTTTTTTTTTATATCACATTTATCTGCATGCGTGTGTGTATTATCTTATTGAATTAGTATTTGGGTAACACTTTACTATAACCATAATTCATAAACAGTAAATCCATAGTTTATTAATGTTAAATCATTTAAAAACAGCATATAGACCAATCATAAATGATCGTTTATTTATGTAATATAATATTCATAAATTATTTATGAACTATTTATTTAAGGTTTATAGAGGGTTTAAATATTGGTTGTAAAAACGTTGAGATTAAATGTGTTTCTTCAATACTTTGTAAATGGTTAATATTTGGTTTTGACACTGTTTAAAAACATTATTTATAGACAGATAGTTAAGTTGCAACTGATGTTTGTAATACTTTCTAAATGATTGATTAGTGGTTTAAAAACCACCAATTAAAATGGTAAAATTTACAGCTTATTAATGGTCTATATGTTGTTTCTAAATGATGATTAAACATTAATAAACTATCTGCTTGCCCTTTATAAGTTATGGTTATTGTAAATTGTTACCAGTATTTGTTTTATCATTATACTATGCTTGCCTTTAAACTTAAAATGATTAGGGGTTTTGAATGATTTTCTATTCATATTAAGCACTTTGTGCTAAATATTGATATGAAAGGCTCTATACCAAGTCTGATTGACCCAAAAGCATACCTTAATCCTGGAGAAAAGGGGAACCTCAACAACATATGTTGTTTTGGAACTAAGGCTGTTGGTGCTCCTCTGATGAAAAAAAATCACAAACACAATCAAATTCAGATAGAGTCAATGACTTAACTTTCAAGAAACATGTTTATTTTACGAAAAATATGTCCATCAGACTTTAAACTCAGCATTTAACTTTAAGGATTAACATTTGAGACTTAAACACTTTTTACAATGAAAAACAAAGCTTTAAGAGGCATCAATATGCCGTCACACTTATTTCAACTTTGCTCTTCTCAGATAAAATCGACACGTACAGTGGACATCGAAGTCACCTTGTTTCGGTCACGTGATGCCCACCATCTCCATGATGAGCCGCTCCCCTCAGACAGCAGAGGCCTGATCCTGTAGAGGTCACCTGGAAAACGCTCAGACAACATTATAATGTACCACTATTGCCATGTAAGACAACGCAGCACAACACAATACCTGCCCGGGTTAACCGGGGTTTCACAATCCTTGGTCTCGGCCAGGGCGTGTTTGACTCATCCCCCACGACAGCGCCGCGCAGTGCTCAGGAGCGCCCCGCAATGACGGGCACAATCCAGTGCGCCGCTGTGAGACAAATGGATACATGAATCATGTGCCACAGAAATCAGGAAACATATTACACGGCTACTGGTTACATAACAAGAAACATGCTCGGTGAACATAAACAGGTCAATTTCACACCTTTTCACGCGTCTTAATTTAAGAGTCACAGGTGGAGACGCCGTCTGAACAGCTTCACGAGGCCACGCAGACCAGTTCATTCCGGTTACCAGTACTGGCCAAACGTTTCTTCAAAGTCCCGGCTCTGAAAGGCGAGGCAGCTTTCATAACTAGAGTCCAACTCCGCATATACAGACACAGGTGAGAGACAATCACGATACAGACGAGAGTTCGGCTCTTCTGTAACAGTCTGGGTGTTTAAAACATGACTCAAACCTTTATAAACTTCCCCCATCAGGTACTGAGTGGTGTTTTCTGGCGCCATTGCACCCACTGGATGACTGGGCAAAGGCACCGCTGCTCCTGCTGCTGCTTTTGCCTGTCTCCTCTCCTTCTTGTTGATTTTCCGGAAAGATTTCACCAATTTCTCCAGCTCTTTCTGCTCCTGGCACCGATAAGGGTGGTTAGAGATGGAGGTCTTCATGACGGTGACTCGACGATGTTTCAGGGCCTTACCCTCCTCAGAGGCGGACACACGGAGCTGCTCCCACCTCATCTTCGACTGAGGTTTGTTGTTTCTACGCACCAAGCTTGTTTTGATCTGGTTTGAGCTAGAATCCATAGTTTCGATACACATTTCCAGACAAAAAAACACAGCAAAGGAAAGTACTGTCGGGTACGCAGCTGTAGTTCCTTCCCACTTTATAGTTCACTGGTCCTCTTCAGAGTTTAAAAAAGTTGGTAAAATTGTCAGCGAAAGTCTTTTTAAAAAGAACAAAATTGTGTTTACTACAAAAAAGAAAATTAATAAAATATACGAAGAGTTTTGCTCACAAAGTCGGAGCTCTACCTAAACGACCAACTGGCGGTTCGTCGACGCAAAAAGTACGTTGCAACGTTGGACTCACGACGGCTATTATATGACAGGAAACACCCACAGTCCTTTGCGCTCATATAAAAACGAAGAGCTTCACGCGCGTGCTGCCACCTACTGGAGTGGAAGGAGAAAAATTAAAGCTCATTCAGGTAAACCTTTAACCCCAGAACACTATTTAGCAGGGATGGGAAAATGTGGAGTCACCAAGTCATCTCTATGCCATGTGTTTGTTCTGCTCTGTCACTGAACCAGCTGCTTTCAATGAGAAGCCAGGAGGGTGGGCTCATTAGTGAAGGCATGGAGATGACTTTGTGACTTCACATTTTCCCATCTCTGAAAATTAGTAACACCATCACTATCGCCGGGTGATTTTAAGTAGTTTTCTTCCATTGTCAACTGTGCAATGTCGAAGGGGGGGGGGGTGCCATGAGGGGACCATATAAAAATGCAACAAAATCATTGAAATAATGCATTCAAGAACAAAAAATTCCTAACATAGATAGATAGATAGATAGATAGATAGATAGATAGATAGATAGATAGATAGATAGATAGATAGAAACTGTAAACATAGTTTCTTTTCCACCCATTCCTGTGGCATGTGCCTTATGAGCCAGGTCGAGCCCTCAGGTCTTCAGGAAGATCTCTGTTAACATTACCCAAAGTTAAAACCAAGACATACGGTGAGGCATCTTTTTTATTACTATGGCCCTCGTCTATGGAACCTGAGGACTGCACCTAATCGTAGTGATTTTAAAACCAAACTGAAAACGCACCTTTTTAGCCTTGCTTTTAACTACATTTTATATCATTAACTTTGTTTAAGTGTTTTAGCATTTATCTATTCTAGTTTTAATCACAGGATTGTCTTTTATTAATTTTTTTCGGTGCTCTCATTTTAGTATCTTTAACTGTTGTTTTTATTTCTTATTTCTTAAATTTCATTGTGTGTTTCTTTGTTTTTAGATTCTAACATAAACCTCCAGTGTTTCCTTATCTTGAGTTTTAAAATTAAGTATCCTTACATTTTGTTTCCATGAAATCAAGCCCTTTTAAGTTCATGCATTTTAATACTGTCACTGTTGCAATTAGATCGTGGGGTGGGAATGAGGGGTTGGGCTGGGCCAGATTTGGGTATTCTTTGTTTGTTTTATTCCCTTTTCTGTGTAAAGCACTTTGTGTTACATGTTTTGTATGAAAAGTGCTATATAAATAAAGACTGATTTATTGATTAATTGATTGATGTGAGTCTTCCCTGGTGAAGACTCAGGGTCCTTGGTACAATAACAGCTGCAGGAGAGAAAACCAAATTATGCCATATTTTGAGTGTTTATATGAGTTTACACTCATTCTGTTGGTTTGCCAGTTAACCAGTTAATACAAAAAGTTAAACAAAATATTACATGTTTACACTAATATTTTACAAACAAGATACTTGGCTTTAGTTTGTAACAAGGTTATCATGTTATATCCAGAAGTTGCATCTAAGCTTCTAGTATTTGTAAACTAAAAACCCCCATAATTGACTGTTTCAGAAAGAACGAACATGAATTTAGCTTCTAGATTATACTAACACGTGGAGGTAATGTTAGAGATGTTGCGTAATCAAAAAAGTACAAAATTATCTGTAGCCTAGCTATTTATGTTCTGACTTTTTTAATAACTCCTCTGTTTTGTTACTTTATTACAACAGCAGGTTCATTGTGTTTCAAGTTTGACAAACAGCCTTGTATTGGAATGGAACGAAAGTAAGCCAGTCCTTTAAGAATAAAACTTGAAATAGCTTGAAACAATATTTTTTATTACGAACTGTTGATTCAGTGTAGCAAGTGTTGAAAATAAAGAAATAATTTGACAAGAGGAAGGGCTGCTGCACACTGTAAGTCTTGTGCCTTTTTCTTACTCAGCAATTGATGTTTTTGTTATGTAACAAAAACCTATTCCACAGAGAAATCCTAAATATAAGTACAAATGCAGAGTACAGATCACAAAATAACAACAAGGTCCATAAAACCCAGAGGAATGTTGCAGTGGTTGCAGTAATGTGATTTATTTGTCATGTCAATTTGACTTCATTGATAGTATTGATATCGATCAGAGAAAATCAAGTTAAGTGATGTTTCTGTGATTCACAGAGACTACAGAATTGGTCCTCATGTGCTCCACTAGATGGCAGTCTGCACCATGAAATGCACTTTGTACAGTGTGTGTTTTTTGTCAGTAACACTAGAGGGAAGCACACGGATGACAGAGTGTTGATTGTGCTGTGAGCACAGAAAGTCCCTTGTGGAAATCTGTAACCCTGATGGTCTCCAGAAGGCTCTAAGTGCCTTTGAATAACTGATATTCACACTCATCTATTGAGTGTGCCCCTTTGTTTAGATTTTCAGGAGATACTTTCATGCAGTTGAATGTGATTTCACACTATATAATTGGTTTTGATGTTTAGCTCAACCTGGTAAAACAAAGAAATGCGAAAAAGTATAATTTCTTTGTCTTTGGACTGATCTGCAAGTCAAGAAACAGCTTAAAAGACAGAGAAAAATGTTAACTCACAATATTAGCAAAGTTATGCTGTGAACAGGAACCTCCTATTATAACATCTTTTTATCTGTAAAAGTACATCTACCATGAAACCAGTCAAATATAAATGTTTGGGTGTTTGCTTTGGTGTCAGATCCAGTTTCAGCTTAGATGAAGATCCTTTGGGGTTATATGTCCAGGCATTATTCAGTATAAGAAGTGATATATTACACAAGTTAGACAATATGTTAGCTTACTAAAGGTAGTATGGCGTAATTGACTGCAATGTTGGCTGGCGAACGGTAAAGTTACTTAGGTAACAGCTATATTAGCTTACTACATGTTACTTCCCTTTTCTACCAGAGTGATCCTCATGCTTGTTTAAATCTGAATCAAATTGTGAAATTGTCAAACAAACACTTTGCTAATCCATGAGCTAGAGCAGCAACAGAGCCAAGCCACTCCAAGAACAGCACCCTCTGGTGACTGACTGCAGTATAGGTCATAAATCCTGCCTACTCCAGCAGAGCTTATGGAGCTGTGGAAAACTTTAGAAATTTATTACACAGAATATAAATTTTCTTCCCCTCTGCTTGCAATGTTGACATGTAGTTACTGTGAGACTGGTTTATGCTCAAATCCTCTTTTTTCTGCGCAGCTCGATTTTTAAAAGTCATTAGGGGGTTCATGTTTTCTCTGATTGACACTTGATACAGCCTATGGGTGAACGAAGATTGCGTAGCTCACCCGGGGGATACGTTGTTTGGGCTGAGCGTCATCACAGCAACTCTCGGTGACCCTCCTGCCGAATGTGTACAATGCTACTGCGCAAGTGGTGAATATAACGTAAAGATTTTTAGATCTGACTGTAGTAATGTTTTATTTTTGTTTGTTTTTTTCTTTTTAGAAAAATTTAGGCTTATGTCTGATAGTTATTCTCTGGCTGTAATTCTGGACTATCACCTGCTTATCAAACACCATAAACTTTGCTCACCCAACGTCTTTATGCAAATCAATGACAATAACAATGGAGACACATGAGTGTTACAATTGCTATAATCAGGCATTGTATTGGAGATGACAGGTAAGTATTTCTCAAAGTTGTTTCTTTCTTTTGTTTAAATTTTAGGGAGGTTGAATTTTGGTCAGATAACCCTGCCTCCACCCCCACATAAGTGGTTCTTTTCAAGTAGCCAATGCAATGGCTCCTTTCCAGAACCGTTTTTTCTGGCCATTTCTCTTGCAATCAGAACACAAAGGGCTGGTTCCAAACAGACCACGAACTTGCCCTGGAACCAGCTCGATGGAGAGGGGGTGTTATACAATGGTAATGTTATTTTTACTGATTTAGAGTAGGGTGACCATACGTCCTCTTTTACCCAAACATATCCTCTTTTACCCAAACATGTCCTCTTTTTGGGGGGCTGTCCAGGTTTGTCTGGCTTTGTCCAGGGAAGTTTATAAAATCCTTTAAATGTCTGTGGTTTTGTACGTAGGTTTCGATTTTGTGTCACATGGATTTACTGAGTTAAAAGTGCGTAAAAGACACTCGATCCAACCTGAAAAACTCTAAAAATTAACTGTGCGACTCTGTGACACCGCCCCCGCGTAGTCGCGTCCTCTTTTTGGGAAGTCAGAATATGGCCACCCTAATTTAGAGTAACTTTGATAATTTAATGTTACTTTACTACGAGCATGTTTTATCTTAGACAATTAGCCCTGTACCCAAGAAGCAATACTTGTTTAATGGTAATGTTACTGTGCTAATGTTGGTTAGCCAACTGCAATTTGGCCATAGCTTAATACAATGGGCCGTTGCAACAAGCTTTCTTAATGCTTGTCTTCCTTCTAGTGATGTGAGTTCATATGAGGTTGATCGTAACTGTCAACCTTTCATTTAGCAACTGGAAGTTGAGAAAATAATTCCTCTTCTCCAAACTGTTTAAATGCAGTAAGTACTGCTTTCATTAAAAACCCACACAGGGCCTTTGCTAAGAGTCAGATAGACCTGTGCCCTGTTATGGTTGCCACTGCTATTGTTTGACCATTGCATTCGAGGGAGGGCTGTAGCAAATGAATGATGGTATGAAGAGCAACATTCAACATACTTATCACTGTTTTTCTACTCTGGGTCAGGAAAACAGCCAAAAGATGAGTATCTTTGCCAGGGATTTACAGAGGATCAGACCATACAGTATTTCTCTGAGAGGCCCCACAGAAGACCCCATGCCTGCTATCATCTTGTTTTCATGTCTGGTTATAATATTGGCATTGGGTTATTCATGCATTGCTCTACAAATCAAAGATCAGCTGACGAGTTGCTTTTCTCCCTCAGTTTCATACATCATCTGATGCCAAACAGCTTTGGCTGCAGAAGCCATCTGTAATACTAGAATTTTTAATAGTCTATGTAAACCAGTTACTCTAACAGTCAATTCAGTTTGGCTTGGAGTTCATTGTAACATCAATATGCAATTTATTAAATCTAATTCCTTGATTCTAGAGGGAATAAACCAGGCTCATGAGTAAAATGTTAGC